ACCTTCTTTCTCTATTAATTTGAAATATGATTACATCATTTATTGAATGATATTCTCAATTAAAAGATTATCTTCACTTTATTTTTAAATTTTGATGCATAGGTGATTTTATTATACTGATCTAATTTTGTCTCAGAACCACATTTTTTTTTTTGAGATGGAGTTTCACACTTGTTACCCAGGCTGGAGTGCAATGGTGCGATCTCGGCTCACCGCAACCTCTGCCTCCTGGGTTCAGGCAATTCTCCTGCCTCAGCCTCCTGAGTAGCTGGGATTACAGGCACGCGCCACCATGCCCAGCTAATTTTTTGTATTTTTAGTAGAGATGGGGTTTCACCATGTTGACCAGGATGGTCTCAATCTCTTTACCTTGTGATCCACCCGCCTCGGCCTCCCAAAGTGCTGGGATTACAGGCTTGAGCCACCACGCCCGGCCTATTTTATAGTTCATTGTAATATCTGGCAGAGTAAATTTTCACATTTTAAAAAGTAACATCATTATAATTACATTAACTTCATAAATTTGACATCTTTACAGCATTAAGTTTTCTCACCCATAAATGTGTCTCCTCGTTTATCACATTTTTTTGATATTCAATAGTACATCGGGGACTTGCACATTTCTTATTAGTTCTATGTTTAGATACTCAGTAATTTTCTTTGCGACTGTAAATGTGATCTTGCCATTAACTGCATCTTTAATGTTTACAATATCTCTTTCTTGTCTTCTCCTAATCTAGTCTCAGCTTTCTGTATTCTATTTATCTTTTATAAGCACCTTAAATCTTTTCCGTAACATGTGGCATACAGTTAGGTTTAAAGATATTTTAACAGTGCTATAATGTCATATTTTGCTGAAAAGGTTAATGTGACATGAACAGTTTTTTTTACTCTAAAGAAATAAGTGGTGGTTGGTTTTCCATGGAATCTTTCTTTTTTTCTTTTAAAGTTTGCTTTTGAGACAATAGTTTGGTTTCAGGTCTTTAGTACAAAAGAACTACTTCTTGTGGGGAAAAACAACACAAAATTATGCCAAACTAGCATTTGCTTGCTATGTGATAGTGTTCTGGGCATTCCTCCAGTGATTAAACGCATTTTGAATGATTTTTCTGTTCTAAAATCTCGTACTTCATTACACAACATCTGCTTGAATTACCTGTTAGGTTTTGCCATATCCGCACAGCAAGACAGGGTTGAGAAAAATTTCTTCTGAGAGATCATATGCAGCTGAGTGGGTAGTGATGAGGAAGAAACTCTAGAGGAGAAGCAATGTTGAAGGAGAAGATCCTGAACTCTTTGAGGTGGTGGGGAGACATCTATGTATCTGGAACTCAGAGGAGATCTAGACTAGAGGGTTGCAATTAATAGTTAGCATGTTGATGGTAATTAAAGTCCTGGAACCGATGAATTGATACAGGGAAAGAATATGAGGTGAGAGGAGAAGAATCTCTAGACCTGAAGTTTAAAGATGCTTAGTGTTTCAAGGTCAGGCAAAAGAGGACAAAGGAGAATAAAAAATGACAAAGTGATTGGGAAAAGAGAAAGAAGAGATTCTATAAAAGCCTAAAGGAGGTATATTTGAGGAAGGAGGACATATTGTTTATGGTCTTGATGATTTCTGAAAGGCCATGTGCTATAAGGACAGAGAATGTCAAATGCATTAAGCAATTTGAGGACGGTCTTCCAATCATCTGCCAGTTAATTCATGTATTCAACAAGCACTACTTGAGCATTTTGAAAGATCATGAAGGCACTGGATAAGGTCACGCACTGTTGATGGAGAAGTGGAAGCTCGGGAGGGATCTGAGCGTGTTGCTCATACTCGACCCTGAACAAAACAATTCACAGACCTGCTGTGCTTAAATCATGACTTGCCCTGGGAAGGGTCTTTTTGGGAATATAGGGAGGCATATGGCATGGATATACTTCCTTCTTCAAAGATGTTACAAGCTCCCTGGAAAGAGAAGGCATAAATGCAATTTAAGTAATACAAGGTGACCATGTAGGAAATGGCACAAGGTAGCATTTGATTAATAGCTAGTTAATAAGCACTGTTCATTGAGAATTTATGCCGAGAGCTTTGTATACATCTAGGTAATCTCAATCACAAACTGTAGGTAGTGTTCATAGATGAGAAAATTGTGACAAATTACTTTACTAGAACTATGACATAAGTAAGGGGTTGAAGATCTATTTTATGCCATGTATACACTTTTCTACTCCGCCACATTCTTTTTTTTTTTTTTTTTTTTGAGACAGAGAGTTTTACTCTGTTGCCTAGGCTGGAGTCAGTGGTGTGATCTCAGCTCAATGAAACCTCCGCCTCCCAGGTTCAAGTGATTCTCCTTCCTCAGCCTCTCAAGTAGCTGGGATTACAGGTGCCTGCCACCACACTCAGCTAATTTTTGTATTTTTAGTAGAGATGGGGTTTCAGCATGTTGGCCAGGCTGGTCTTAAACTCCTGACCTCAAGTGATCTGCTTGCCTCGGCCTCCCAAAGTGCTGGGATTATAGTAGTAAGCCACCACACCTGGCCTCTGCCACATTCTTTCTCAACAGTTCAGTGCTTTTGAAAAGTAAATATCATGTTTTGGCATCATTTTCTGTTTTCTGAATCTGAATATTGCTGGAATCATATCTGTTATATCAAACTATGGACTATAGCAGTAATTCTCAAACTACAGGGGACTCCCGAGAACACTCGAACACTTTCAGCAGGGTCTCATGGTCAAACTTATTTTTCATAATAACAATAAGATGTTACTTCCTTTTTTAAACTGTACTGACATTGTCACTAATGGTCCAGAAGCAATGGAAGGTGAAACAGCTGGTGCCTTACTACAAATCAAGGAAGTGACACCAAACTCTCATTGTGGTCACTGTATTCTTCACTGACACACACTCACAATAGTCAAAAACAAAAAATCCCAGCAGAACAACCTAGTTTCGCTTGAGAATTTCCTTGATGAAGCAGCAAAAATTACTAATGTAGCTAAATGTTAACATAGGAGTGCATGTGTTTTGAGTATTCTAGGTGATGAAATAGGAAGCACTAAGAAATCACTTCCACTGTACAGCGAAGCCTGATAGTTGTTGCTATGGTTAGGCTTTGTGTCCTCACCCAAATCTCATCTTGAATTATAATTACCATAATCCCCACAATCCCCACATGTCGAGAGAGAGACCAGGTGGAGGTGATTGGATCAGGGGACAGTTCTCATGATAGTGGGTGAGTTCTCACGAGATCTGATCATTTTATAAGTGTTTGGTAGTTCCTCCTGCATTCATTCTGTTCCTGTCGCCTTGTGAAGAAGGTGCCTTACTTCCTCTTTTCCTTCCACCATGAGTGTAGGTTTCCTGAGGCCTCCCCAGCTGTGAGGAACTGTGAGTCAATTAAACTTCTTTCTTTTATAAATTACCCAGTCGCAGGCAGTTCTTTATAGCAGTATGAAAACAAACTAACACAGTTGTCTTAAGGAAAATGTCGGTTGCTTGAGTTACGAGATAAGCCAACTTTTTTTTCATGGAAAAGCATTTTTGCTTGAAAGACTGACGGAGAAACAACATGGTTTTCAGACTTGGACATGTGGCAGACATTTTCTTGAAAATGAACAAAGTGAGCCCACAGCTTTCAAGCAAAAATGTCAGCATTTCTTGCTAGTGATATATTTGTGCTTCCAATCAAAAAGTCTAAGCTCAGAACACTTTTGTTCACCACTATAATCTTGACAGCTTACCAACAGTGAGAGTTTTCTTATGATAAAACCTGGTAGTGAACATGGCAAATGTTACTTTCTGATATTGTGTGATGAAATATGTCAACAGTTAAAATATATGCATGACTTATTTTTCAAATGTCCAGTGCATGATTGTGCATAGATCACGCATGGATAAAAGATCCATCGAAAGCGTGTAATAGACCAATGGGGTTTAATGCAAGTATATGGAAAAGTTCACTATTATGGTTTCAGATTCTATACTGCAACTAATTTTAAGAAGTTACCATTTGTTGAGTCTTAATATAATATCAAAAAAGAATGTTCATACTGATATAAAAAGGCAATTATAATATTCCTTCATTTTCAAACTACATATCGGTGTCTGACTATATTTGTTTAAAAACTTTACCAGCAACAGCTTGAATGCAGAAACAGATGAGAATTCAGTGTCTTAAATCAAGCCAGACATTAGAGATTTGCAAAAGTATAAAACAGTGCTACTCTTCTTGCTCTTTTGGGGGGTCATGAAAATATAGTTACTTTTACAAAAATTTAAAATAAACAACATGCTATGAATTATTGTTATTTTAAAACAATAAATATTTTAAAACTTTCTCAATTTTAGTTTTTAATATGAAAAAGACTCTTTGGTGTTCTATATAATTTATCAAGAGTGTAAGGTGATCCGGAAGCCAGATTTTTTAGATGAACTAGTTTAGATCCATGGTCAGAGATAGTAGAATCAAGTGATTAGGAGGCTCTCTCCAGTTTTTATTAGTGCTGGGCTCTTTGGATGCAGTATATTCTGTGGTTCCATCTTCAAGTTTACAGGTTCTATTGTCTGTCATCTGTATTTTTGAACTCACTTAGCAAGTTTTTTATTTTTATTATTATATTTTTCAGTTTTAGAATTCTCATTTGGTTTAATATTTTCTGGGATTTTTCATTCTTCATTTGTTTCAAATAAATTTATAAATGATTACTGAAGGATTTTCATAATATCTTCTTTAAAGCCCTTGTTAGGTGATTCCAACCTCTGATTCATCTTGGTATTGCTGTTTGTTGATTGTCCTTGGCATAATAGATGATTTTTTTTTTAATCGTCTCCTAGACATTTTGATTATTACAGATATTCTTGATTCTATCTAAACCTTCTAATTTGGTGAAATATGCTTAGATTTAGCATATGTATTCTTGGGCTACTTTTGTGGGTGTTAGTTTTAATGATGGTAATGTAGTTTCCTAAGTCCTTGCAATGCTACTGTCCTTTTGTTTTTTCCAGTATTGCTAAGACTCCTATTCAGTCGCTGCTGGCGCCACCTGCAGGGAGCAGAAGGTACTTCCATAGTAGGCCTGCTATCACTGAGTGACCTTCCTGGTCACTTCTGGGCCTGATTATGGTACTGGCTGGAAGACAGGGAGACACAGGGCTTTGCAGAGGCTGCCTCGGTGCCTGGTTGTGGAGTGAGGTCTGAGACATCCCTGGACTTCATCGTTGTCTCTTTTGCAAGTGGATAGCACCATCCACCAATGGCCTGGCTGTGGAGTGGGATCTGGGAGGTCCCAGGACTTTGTTGATGGGGCTGCAGCCAGATCGGACTGCCTGCTGGGGCCCAGCATGTGCAGTGGGAACTGAAACAGCCTTGAGCTGAGCTTCCACTGGGGGATCAAAGTGCTTGCAGGAGCCCCATTTGTGGGGCAGGGGTTAGGGCCCTCTTGTCCTAGTTTTGGGATGTGGGGTGCGGTGATAAAAAGAAAATCCAGGACTCTCACCATGTAGTCATTCCTCAAGCCCTGAGGCCTGTAGCCAGTCTACCTTCTTCCATCCAACTTTCGATTATTTTATCATTGTCTGTTGAACAATTTCAAGGGCATTTATTTATATTTAGAGGGAAGGACCAGGGAAAAGTGTGTCTATGTGATTTTGTTTTGGAACTAGATATAACTGCTTATTTTTTAAATTAAAAATGTAAAATTATAAAAAGTAAAAATGGAAAAAATTGTGGCAAGGTAGGTTAACTTTTGGCTTAGGCGGTCATCGTATGTGTTTTATAGCATGTTTGTTTATTTCTGTAGGAATTATGTTGGAATATGAAAAAAGTGGAGAATTAAAGACTAAGTCCATAGATTTGCTTGATCTTGGTCCCAGGTAAGTTAACTATGTAACACAACAAGTAAATTTTCACTGGAAATGACACAAGAGTGATGTGTGGATGAGCTGCAGGTAATACACTAAACTGCATATAATAAACTGCAGCTAATACATTATTTTTAAAAAATAGTTCTTCTGTGGTGTATTAGTTACTGTTTGTTTCAGTCAGTTTTACCTGAGGATCTTCCTAAATGAAGAGGAGGTGGAAAAAGGGTCATCACACTTTTTTTTTTCTAAGAAGATCTTTAAAAAACAAACCTTTGAGTTTATAGTTTTAGAAAAGTTGTGAAGGTAGAGTTTCTGCACCCAGTTTCCCCTGATCTTAGCATCTCAGATTAGTCAGGTACATTTATTAGGATTAATGAACCAGTATGATACATACTTACTAGCTAAGGCCCACTTTATTCAGTTTTTCTTAGTTTTTCCCTAATTCCCTTCTTCTGTTCCAGGATTCCATCCAGAATCCCACATGACATTTAGCCATCATGTATCCTTAAGCATCCCTAGGCTGTGACTGTTTCTCAGATTTCTCTTATTTTTGCTGACCTTAACATTTTTGAGGAGTACTTGTAACTGAGTTTTAAGAATATTACTAAACCTGTTATTATTAAATGCTTCATAGGTCTGACTGAATATGTTCCTCCTCATTAATTGTCATGGGGCAGAAGGGGGAGACCTAATCTTTATTACTGAAGCTTGGTATGAATGCAGAGAAAATCTCTTGTGATGTGATAATGCCGAGTTCGAAATCTAATGCTAATAGCTGGCATGGTGGCTCACACCTGTGATCCCAGCACTTTGGAAGGCCAAGGTGGGTGGATCACTTGAGGTCAGGAGTTCAAGACCAGCGTGGCCAACATGGTGAAACCCTGTCTCTACTAAACACACAAAAATTAGCCAGGTGTGGTGGCATATGCCTGTTGTCCTAGTTACTCGGGAGGCTAAGGGATGAGAATCACTTGAACCCAGGAGGCAGAGATTACAGTGAGCAAGATCACGCCACTACACTCCAGCCTGGGTGACAGAGTGAGACTCCATCTCAAAAAAAAATCTCATGAATAACTCCACTTTAAGGCCAAGTGGTGGCTCACACCTGTAATCCCAGCATCTTGGGAGGCCAAGGCAGGAGAATCACTTTAGTCTAGGAGCTTGAGACCAGCCTGGGCAACACAACATAGCAAGACCCTGTCTTTATAAACAAACAAGCAAAAATTCAACTTCAAGAGAGAGTCAGACTAGTGATTATCCTGTGAGAGCCTAAATTCAGATAAGGTGGAGATAATCCCAATGAGTGAAAATTAAAAAAGAAACAGAACAAAAATGTTGTGTTTTAGGTTTGTGGCCTGAGACTGTGAGCAAAAGGAGCTTTCTTACATGAGCTGCTCTCTAGTTTTATAATGACCCCACTTGGCACCATAACTGAGAGAAAGGTGCTCTCTTAATCCTGGAGTTGCTACCACTTGAGAGGTTTGGTGTTTCTGGGAACACCTGTCTAGGGTGGGGATGGGGCATGGCTCAGAGGACGATGGTCTTTGTAGGGTCCAAGTCTTATTTCAGGTGCTTGACACAAGGAAGGTAGTCAACTGATTTTTTTTTCAATCAAAGAATAAACAGTGGCACAGATAGTGTCACTGAATTTCATGTACAACAATCTTTGTTTATTTTCAGGAAAGATGAGGCCTAATATCAAACCCAACCTGTAATTTTTGTAAATGGAACCTGTTACTGAATTGTGTGACTATGCTAGCATGCAGGAAGTTTCTTCATTAGACATTCATTTATTTTTTCAGCAGTTACATATATGTACAATTACATATATGTACACATACATAAGAATCTAATGTGGGTTAGATTCTAAAAGAGGCTATGAAGATATTAATCATAATCCCTACACTTGATAGGCTTTTTGTCTAGTTTGAGAAACAACTTGTACAACATAGAACATCACACAGGTGGTACAGATACACTTCTATGTGGGAGAACAGCCCCCAGATAGACATTCCACAAAACCACAGATTTTTATATTTAAAAAGTTTGAATTCTTAGGTCATTTCCAAAAGGATTTGTGAGCCATGAATCTAGGCACTTGAAACTTTGTTCTTCATATTAGCTATAGTCACTCAATTGTGCTATGCTTTCCTGAGGACATATAAGGCGTAGCTACTCATAAACATGACCTTTCAGTGATATGAGAAAGTAAATAAATGTCTCAAAAAGGGATGAGTCTTATTTCTAGTTTTGTGCAAGAATCTGAAGTATTGTGCCTGTAAAAACACTGGCACCATAGATGACAAACTGGAATTACTGCATGAGAATCCTACAGGGCTGGAGTGTTTAGATTATCTGGTTACTTTGGATTTTGCGAGGAAATCTGTTTTTATCCAAGTTGTTAAAAACTTTTCAAAGGAGCATTTTTGCCCTTTTAATTCTTATGAAATTAAATATCTTTTTGACAATTGAATATCTCAGGGTTTATCCAAGTCGTTATTATAGACAGCCCCTGGTTCACGTTTGTTCAAAGTATTCACTCCTAATAGATTACATTTCTTGAGAGTCGGGGCCATGTCTTTGACACTCCCAGTGCTAAAGGAGTAGTAGCAACTCAATATATGTCACTTGAATGAGCAGGTTCCTAGCTTGATGCCTTGCACAAAACTGGAGCTTAATGTTTATGAGGTGAAGAGGGAATACTTATCAGAGGTCACATTCGTGGGAAGTGGATACTGAGACAGAGGTGGGTTAATAAAGGTTTATTGGGCAGTGACACTTGTGACAGTCCAGGGCACGAAGCAGGATCTGGCAGGAGGAACCATCTGACCTTGGTGAAGGAGGCGGGACAACAGAATCTCTGCCAATCTGGAGGAGCTCAGGAGCAAAACTTGCCTGTTAGAGGAGTGCCTCACAGCCAGGCTCCTGCTCTGCCCCTGCTCAGCTGTGGGCGGGGAGTCACCAGAGAAGAGCCGGAGCCTGGAATACCAAGGTGCAACCTTCAGCAGCCTCACTAAAAGCTGTCAGGCAACAAAGCTCCAAGCCTGAAGCTGGGCCTAAGTCTTTTCTTAAAGGTGGGGGAACCTGCGTAGTGCATCTTCTAGATGGGTGTGACATGATTGATGAAATGGCTCTATTTCGGATGCTTCGTGGTATATATACATTGATGCCTTTTTTAGAATGAATTTTATTCTGTTCCAGCAACATTTTTTCAGAATTTCTACATATTATTTGAATACTAGAGAAAATTTGAATCTATCTGTATATTTTTTCAGACCAGTTATCTTTCAGGGAAATAATAATTTAGTCCATAATAAATGTTAATGTTAGCCTTATTATTTTTAAAATTTATGGTTAAGCATTTTCTCTTTTCCTAAACATATTTTACATCTAATCTTTCTGAACCTCAGTTTCTTCATCTCTAAAATAATTATGATAAAAGCATTACGTTAGCAGATTGTTACAGGATTAAATAAGAGAACATATGTAAAGTGAAAAATATGATGCTGGGAACATTCAATACATGTTCATTCAAAAGAAACAGGAAAAAAAAGAAAAATAGCTCATGTTCAGAACTAGTACGGACTAGGCCTTCCTAGGTGTCTTCATTCGTTTTGTGCTGCTATAACAAAAAATACCTGAGAGAAGGTTATTTATTTCTCACAGTTGTGACTGGGAAATCCAAGATCAGGGCCCCCACAGGTTTGGTGTCTGGTGAGGGCTTCACTCTGCTTCCAAGATGGCGCCTTGATGCTGTGTCTTCACATGGCAGAGGGCAGAAGGGCAAAAGGGCTGAACATTCTTTGTCAGGCCGTCTGATCGGGGCATCTGATCCCATTCACGAGGGCTCCATCATTGTGACTTAATTACGTATTCAGGCCCCACCTGTTAACGCTGTTACATTGGTGAACACGTTTCAGCATGAATTTTAGAGGGGATGCAAATACTCAAACGACAGCAGTAGGTGAGAATATTAGACTTTTGGCACACCCTCCACAAAACAAGCCTTAGCTATGGAAAAATGTGTTTTAGAAATTCCAGATTTCTTGCTTTCCTGCAATCATGCTATTTACTGATTTGTGTGATTCCCACCCCTACATCTCCCCCGAGATATCTCTTGGGAAAGATAATGATGTTTTTAACATTTTACAAATGTGCTTCATGAAGCAATGCAATCAGTTCTTCATGTAATAAAGGTATATGTAAATTCTGACATAAAATAAAGGAAACTTTTATTTTGGGTGAATTTCAGTACGGATGTCAGTGCTTTAGTGGAAGAAATCCAGCAGGCAGAACCTCTAATCACAGCTTCACGAACAGAGCAAGTGAAACTTTTGATACAGAGGTTACAAGAGAAACTTGGCCAGCACAGCAACCACACATTCTATCTTTTTAAGGTAATGCATTAAAAAAAATCAGATAAATGAATTTCAGTGACATGATTGATGTTTTGTTAATTTCTCTTTCTCTAAAAATATTTTTCATTCCCTAAACATTTCATATTTTCTGCTTCAATGTGAACTAAATAATATTTCAGTACATTATTTATTTTTATGGATTATATAATTTCAATGTGATGTAAATATGCTTTTTAAATAGGTTTTTTGATTATTAAATTAAAATATAGCAAATATTTAGCACTTCTAGAAAAGCTTTTAATTTTCCATTATAATTATCCTAGTATTACTTCATATTACACAGCTTTTATCTTTTATTATTTAAATATAATTACGATAATAAAATATAATTATTAGTTATATACTCACCTGATAACAAAATATCCAGGCATTCCTTTCTAGAAGAGGATGAGGTTGTAGTCTTGTAGCATTTCTTTGTCCAGCAGGTGGCACTGTTTAATTTCAAATATCAGCTCTGTAACTGGTGTGTCTCATAATTTATTCTCCAAAGGGAACATTTTTTATAGTGAAAGTAGATGCCATTAATAGTGACATTTTGGCACCCAGACATAACCCGGATTATCCTAGCATAGCCAATCGCTATTAATAGACTGTCCAATTTATGTATATGCATTCAGTAAATATTCATTAAACATTCACTGTATGTTAGATGTTGTAGTAATTGAAAGATAAATAAGACATAGTCTGACTTTAAAGGATTCATAAAGAATAATACATTATCAAATCTTTGCCGAAACATATTTAGTGTATTTCCTATATACACAGTTAATACATATATACAAACCATATGCGTATGTAAAGAAAATGTGACAAATTATTGCTATCAATAAGATACCACATAGCACTAATTTGTAATATTTAGTGGTATCAGTAAGATACCATATAGCACTGTCTGTCTTAAAGGTAAATCAGATATTGCCATTTCTGAGGTATAATTAAGACAAAATTGAATGTCTTCATTGGTTTGAAGTTGTAACTAACAAATTAAACTTAATTTGGTTTGAGTCTAAAAAATGGTGTTTTCTTTCACTGAAGGTTCTCAGAGCACATATATTGCCACTGACTAATGTTGCACTTAACAAATCGGGCTCATGGTAAGATTCTCTTTTTATGTCTAATTTTTAGCAATGAAAAGCTAAACAAGTTTCTGGGTTCATTTTTTGAAGATTCCAGTTAGCTAAGTACATAATATATTCATTTTTCTGATTTCAGTACCCTCTTGAATATTGAGGAGAAATATAAGCCCTTTCTTTGACTATTCTAATCTGAATTTTTTAAAGTCATGTTTGTGTACAGTAAACGGGAGGTATATTGGGTTCTCAGCAAATATAGCTGCTGAATAACTCAGCTCAGGAATGAGTCAGGCAGGGTGGTCTCATCTCTAACTTGATTGATTGTGATCAGTCTATTCAGAGCAGGCATCCATGTAGGTCAGTGATTTGGGGTATGGTGAATAGCAGCTTCAAGTCTATGTTGAGAGCATGGCTGCGATCAGCTTGGGAGCTGACGTGCTAGGTAGGAGAGATGAGGTAGAAGCCGCATCTTGACCTACAGACATAAAATAAACATGTCTGTAGTAGTTTGTTAAGGCTTCCATGATAAAGTGCAAACTGAGTGGCTTCCACAACCAACACTTATTGTGCCACAGTTGTGGAGGTTAGAAGTCAGAGGTCAAGATGTCATCAGGGTCAGTTCCTTCTGAGGCTTGTGGGAAAGAAGCTGTTCCACAGCTCTTATAGCTTCTGGTGGTTTGCTGGCAATCTTTGGTGTGGAGAAGCATTACCCTGAGCTCTGCTTTCATCTTCACATGGTTTTCCCTGTGTGTGTCTCTAACCATAGGACCCGTTCTTATAGGGATGCATTGAATTAGGGCCCACCCTACTGTGGCATGATCTCATCCTAACTTAACTATTTTTTTTTTTTTTTTTTTTGAGACAGAGTTTCGCTTTTGTTGCCCGGGCTGGAGTGCAATGGCGCAATCTCCACTCACTGCAACCTCTGCCTCCCAGGTTCAAGCAATTCTCCTGCCTCAGCCACCTGAGTAGCTGGGATTACAGGTGCCCACCACCATGCCCACCTACAAAAAAAAATACTTTTTTTTGTATTTTTAGTAGAGATAGGGTTTTACAATGTTGGCCAGGTGGGTCTTGAACTCCTGACCTTGTGACCCACCAGCCTTGGCCTCCCAAATGGCTCGGATTACAGGTGTGCCCTAGCTTATATTTTGTTTAAAAAACGAATCAATGGATCCTTTAACATAGCTATTCTGCCATAGGAGTAGTTAGTGGAGTATAATGTGAAACAGCAGCATCTTAATCATCCCTTCAATATTCAATTAGGAAAGATATTTTCTTTTAAAATATCTCTGAAATCAAAATATTGCTTTAAAAGTATAACAAAAATATATTTCCCCAGCACAGAAAATGATCCACAAAATTGAAAAGCCAGTCTGAATGTCACGTGGTAATGTTAAAAGGTGAAGGAAAGTCTAACAGCAAAACTTAACTAAACAGGAAGGTTAGCAAGACAGGATACCTTTGGTTCTCTCCTAGGTATTTTCCTTCTACTATCTTCTCCCGCAGACTTCCGCTACCCTTGGCTAGATGTAAACTCACATTTGCAACTATACACATACATGCTATGATGTTTTTATGGGTTGAATTGCATCCCCCCAAAGTTCATACGTTGAAGTTCTAATTCCCCAGAACCTTAGAATGTGAATTTATTTGTAAATAAGGTCATCACGGATGTAATTATCAATAGTTAAGTTAGGGCTGGGCATGGTGGCTCCTGCCTGTAAAAATCAACAGAATATATCACAATTTAGACATTGTTCTCAATTTAACTTTTTGTTCTGCACATATGACTTCCATTGTAAAAAGCATAATTGGCCAGGTGTGGTGGCTCACACTTGTAACCCCAGCACTTTAGGAGGCTGAGGTGGGTGGGTCACCTGAGATCAGGAGTTCAAGACCAGCCTCCCTCACTTGGTGAAACCCCATCTTTACTAAAAATACAAAAAAAAATTAGCTAGGCATGGTTGTGGGTGCCTGTAATTCCAGCTACTCAGGAGGCTGAGGCAGGAGAATTGCTTTAACCCAGGAGGCAAAGGTTGCAGTGAGCCAAGATCATGTCATTGCACTTCAACCTGGGCAACAGAGAGAGATTCGTTCTCAGAAAACAAACAAAAACATAATAAGTAGAGTTATTATCCTGCGGGTAAAACATGAAGTCTTTATTAACGCACTGCCATTCTTCCCTGCAACATGTTTATATTCCTCTTGTTAGCTTTATCACAGGAAGCTATGATCGGACGTGCAAGCTCTGGGACACTGCATCCGGAGAGGAGCTGAACACCCTGGAGGGCCACAGGAATGTGGTTTATGCCGTAGCATTCAACAATCCTTATGGGTGTGTTCATCCATTCACGTATTTTTTCATTAATTTATTTATTCATCCCTCTATCTGCTGGGGGAGGAAGGAAAGAATACAAGAGGACTAAAATTTATTGAGTGCTTGGTATGTGCTTTGGAAGCCTTTTAAATACCTCCTTCAATGCTTAAAAGGGTCTTTGGGTTAGCTATCACTATCCTCATGCAGAATACAAGATTCAAGGCTTGGCATGGTGGCTCATGCCTGTAATCCAAGCACTTTGGGTAGTCAAGGTGGCGGATCACTTGAGGTCAGGAATTTGAGACCAGCTTGGCCAATGTGGCAAAACCCCATTTCTACTGAAAATATAAAAATTAGCTGGGCATGGTGGTGGATGCCCATAGTCCCAGCTACTCGGGAGGCTGAGGCAGGAGAATTGCTTGAATCCAGGAGGCGGAGGTTGCAGTGAGCCAAGATCGCACCATTGCACTCCAGCCTGGGCAACAGAGCAAGACTGTGTCTTTAAAAAATAGAAAGAATACAAGTTACGCTTGCATTCAGGTACGCTTCTAAGGATCACATCATAGTAAAGAGGAGAGCTGGAGTTCATGCTCAGGCAAGACTTAACTCTCAACCCTTGGGAGTTTCCTGACAGGCACTTCCTACTGATGTTCACAGCTCTGGATTGGTGCCTCTGGCGGAATGTGACATACACACACCGCATGGTTTCCTTCATTTAGAAGTTAATTTACAGTCTTGCCAGGTAGGAAAGAAATGTGTGTGGCAACATGCTAAATACCAGTACCAAGTATAATAGAAGTATTTTTAAACCAACCTCTAGACAATTGATTCAGGAGTTTTCCCAGGTGTCTTCTATTCGTGCATGACACACTGCTGGTTCCCATGGCAACCTGAACATCTATCGCAATGAAGCTACCCACCGGAATGGGCATTCTCTCACTGGTTAGGTTCTAAGCTGGTCAAGAGTTTGTTGTATTTGTTGACAAATGTGCTTATGTTGGTTGTGCTTTCAGTTGTAATTGTGTAATGTAACTTGTAATTTAACTAAATATTACATAAACTAATAAAATATGAGTGTGAAAAGAAAGCTGCTGTTTTCTAGGGAAGCATGGATAAGGTAAATCTTTGAAAAATTGTTTCACAACTAAATGAAGTTGTGGATGAGATCAGTGTTCAACTGGAAAGCACACTGTCAAAATCTAGAAAAATTCTGCACTCAGATTCTTCTGCACGTATGTTTAAGTTCTTTAAGTTCTCATTTCATTTTCAGGAAAACAAAACTAGATATTGTTGAGGTTTGATACAATTTCTGTAAGAGAGATGATGAACTCCACTTAGCTGACAAATAGTCAAAGAAAGACAGTGGCATTTTGTGAAAAGATTGGCAAATGGACATATATTTATATCTATTGCCGTAAACCTTTCTTAGACAAGTGTGTATTTTTTCATAATTGCACATGTTACATGAATTTTTCCATAAATGAAGCCAGTTCTATAAATATGGTTCATTTACTATAGTGTTATGATGACTGGAACGAAACAGTAAATGACTTAACAATTGAGAGGAGAAAGAGATCACTGTGATTTCTCCTGGTTAGAGTCTTTAGAGATGGGGTGAGCCCAAAGCAGAAGCCAGGAGCATGGAAGATGGGAAGCAGTGGAGAGGACACGTGGGGCAAAGAGACTTCAGCAGCTCAGTGTTTTAAGGAGGGGATTCATCAGGCACTCAGTGGCCAGTCTCTCTAGTGAGCATTTCAGGTTGAGAAACAGAAATGTGTGAGGTCAGAGCATTCCGTGGAGTTTAAATTGTTCTGTAGGACTGAGTTGCCATCAGGGGTTTGGGAATAAAAAGTGGAACAATGAAAGTTTTAAATAGAAGGATGGCTCTGGCAGAGAGAAGAGGTCAGAGGGTTTGAATGTGAGAAGAAACAAGAGACGAGGTCATTTAGGATGCAGATATGACAGAACACTCATGATAGGATAATACACTCATTGCCTGGGTAGGGGCAGAAAGAATAGAGGAATTACATAAAAATTTTATACACTTAGAATAGATATTTTATACCATAGTTTAAAAACTTGATATCTAGTTTGCCAACATAGTATCTTTTTAAAATGTAGTACCCTTTCAAAACACATTAATTTTGATGGCACCAAACTTAAATTGGTACATTAAAATAATTAAACATTATTAAGTTTCAGAAAATTTAACTTTGATCTATGCATTTTTACATTACAGGGAATGACAATTTTTATAATACCTTATATCAGCTTGTGAAAAGAGAAAGATTTTATTGAAATTATAAATGACACTATTTTTCTTTTGGTATAATTCCTATTTTCATTGCAATACTATTTGAAGGCTATTATTCTCTATAATGCAGTGTCATATCCTCTAATATTCTACTTAACAAACATGATTTTTTTGGTGTCCATCTCAGAATGAAGTTTTCTCTTGTTGGAAAGGAGAGGGATACTTTTTGGCCCTTCAATTGAATTCTACCAAGAGCCCCTGATAAAACCCCCCTTGTCTAATTAGATAGTTATCCTTGTCTGATGATTTATGTGTGCATGAATGCAGTGTTTCTCACTGCATTTTGGGGTCATTGGGGTTTCCACAGCATGAGTTCAACACAGTCATCAAAGAATGAGAGGGAGTGTGTGTGTGTGTGTGTGTGTGTGTGAGAGAGAGAGAGAGAGAAACTTAAAACCAGTTTAGTGTTTATCTGCTTTATACCTTAGGGCAGGAGTAAGCCTTGATTCAATAAAGTAATTCTCAAACACATTGACATGAGAGGTATCTTCTGTAATGTGGTGTCCTGTGGATGTAGAGAACAGTTTGTGATAGAATAGAAATTAATCAAGAAACAATCGCAACTCAAGACTCATTTTTGAGGGGCAGGAGGATGAAAAACTGAATTGAAGGAACTGATAAAGAATGTACGTAGTAAGATCCCATCTCTACAAAAATAAAAAAATTAGCCAAGTGTGGTGTTATGTGCCTGTAGTCCCAGTTCCTCGGGAGTCTGTAGTGGGAGGTTGCAGTGAGCTGAGATCGCAACATTGAATTCAAGCCTGGGAGACAGAATAACATTGTCTCAAAAAAAAAGCACAGAGCTTTGAGCTTATCTTGAACACACATTGTAAGATATAGGCAGCTGAAGTAAAATGCCCAGGGCTGGATGCCAGAGGAGAAAGCCAGGTCAGACACTCTGTTGGAAGCTTTGGGTGGGTGGGTGTTTATAGGACAGGCTGCCCTTGGAACACTAACAGAGAGGGTGCCACTTTGCTTTAGTCTGAGAGACCACATAAACACCACAGAAATATGAGTGTCCTGGACAAGGGCATCAGTGTTAGTCTGGGTAAATATGCGTTTCTAGTCTGCATTAGGATATATGTGTCCAGTCTTGAGATCTGTTACACTTTTGGAAATGAGCTCGTGCTGTAAATGATTTATGTCAACTCGTCTTGAAGAGTTGGTATAAAAGACAGATGTAAGCCAGGGATAAAAGAAAGGGTTTTAGTTCCAAGATCAAAGGCCAAACAGGGTCATCTACTCTTACTTGTTGCAGGTTTATGATAGCCCTGCCCCCCGCTCCCCCCACTCAATATGAGAAGCCTCTTAGTTGAAAGTGACTGAGGTCTTTATATTTCCTTTCTAAGCCCTCTTACAACTGGAATAATACAGGCATTATTTCCTTAAGAGGACACACACTGTCTAAATTCTCAAAACCTCATTAACTGTATTTTTAATGGGATTTATCTTTTTTATTTTTCTTTTACATTCAGTGTTATCCTTTTCCGTCTACTTATTAATAGAATTGTTCTATGTTTACACAGTTCATACTATATATTATTGATTTTAATTTGTAATTTTCTAAACTAAACCTTTTGCCACATTTATTAAACTAGTTTTAAAAATTGTTATACTGTAATCCCAGCACTTTGGGAGGCCGAGGCAGGTGGATCACAAGGTCCAGATATCAAGACCATCCTGGTCAACACGGTGAAACCCCGTCTGTACTAAAGATACAAAAAATTAGCTGGGCATGGTGGCGCGTGCCTGTAATCCCAGCTACTCAGGAGGCTGAGGCAGGAGAATTGCCTGAACCCAGGAGGCCAAGGTTGCGATGAGCCGAGATTGCACCATTGCACTCCAGCCTGGGTAACAAGAGCAAAACTCTGTTTCAAAAAAAAAAAAAAAATCTTATAATCCCAAGCAAATATATTTATAACTCTAATATAAAACCTTTCAAATTAAATGTGTAAATTGATACCACTCAATAATTAGGCCTTTATTTTATTATCCACTGAAATGATTTTAAGATTGCTTATAGTTTTAGAAATGAAGTACATTTTATACTCATGAATTAATATCTCTTATCTTAGTTCAGTTTATTACCTAATGTGTCTTTTTTTAAGTAATCCACATTTCTTTTAAATTTTAGTGACAAAATTGCCACTGGGTCCTTTGATAAAACTTGTAAACTCTGGAGTGTAGAGACAGGACAATGTTACCATACCTTCAGGGGCCACAGAGCAGAAATAGTGAGTATTTATTTAGCAATTTATTATTACATTTTATGTTGCTGTTTCTTTTTAGGATTGTATTATAAAAGCTGTGGGTCTACTTTTACAATTAATTTTTAAATTCTACCTCATGTTTTTAGTCTGCCTGTATTTACATGGTGTTGCCTACACAATTTAAAAATTATTCTACTTAATATCTTGCAGATTCTATAAAGAATCGTATCTTGCATTGACTAAGTAGACGTGTTAATATAACACATTTATAAATATAAGAGCCAATCTTCCTTTTTCTTTTTCAATGACTTTTCTTTAGAGTACTGACTCAATGAGGGTCAATTAAGCTATAAAAACAGCTTTTAAAATAATTTTAAAACTACTATGTGAAGTATTTAGGCTGATGATTCTCTGTATATCATTAGTGCTCAAATTTGCATGAATTGTCTTATACTCGAAACAGCTTTCACTGTTGGGAAGCCCTTGTCCTTAAGCCAATTCCGTGACATATCTGATAACAATTAGTGTAACAATTGGCATTCCACAAGAACAAATGATAGCTCTTGAAAAATGAGAACACATGGACACAGAAAGGGGAGTACTAAACACTGGGGTCTATTGGGGGGAAAAGGGGAGGGCCAGTGGGAGGGGGAGGTGGGGAGGGATAGCCTGGGGAGAAAAGCCAAATGTGGGTGAAGGGGAGAAGAAAAGAAAGCACACTGCCATGTGTGTACCTACGCAACTGTCTTGCATGCTCTGCTCATGTACCCCAAAACCTAAAATCCAATAAAAAATTAAAAAAAAAATAAAATAAAATAAAAAATAAACAGGGCCGGGCGTGGTGGCTCAAGCCTGTAATCCCAGCACTTTGGGAGGCCGAGGCGGGTGGATCATGAGGTCGAGAGATAGAGACCATCCTGGTCAACATGGTGAAACCCCATCTCTACTAAAAATACAAAAAATTAGCTGGGCATGGTGGCGCGTGCCTGTAATCCCAGCTACTCAGGAGGCTGAGGCAGGAGAATTGTCTGAACCCAGGAGGCGGAGGTTGCGGTGAGCCGAGATCCATCCATTGCACTCCAACCTGGGTAACAAGAGCGAAACTCCGTCTCAAAAAAAAAAAAGAAAAAATAAACAGGCTGCTGCTCCTAATGATTAGTAATGCCTTAAATGGTTTTAATCAAAGATTTAAGTAGGAAATACTGATCTGATTTCAGTGAATTTCAGAGTTGTGTTGGCCTGTTAATGGGGATCACCCGCTTCCCTCCATTTCCGGCCTTCATTAGGTAGAATGACTCTTTCCATATTTAACTCATTTCACTTGTTGTGCCTTGAAGTTACTCTCTCTCTAAGTGGATAATACCGAAAGAGAATCCACAAATAGAAGCTATCCACTTTAGCAATGCAGTAGTAGTTTAAAAATAATAGAGACCTTTAAGGATCAAAGAGAGAAAAAGCTAAAGCCTAGGCTGGGTGCTGTGGGAGAACAAGCAGCCTCTTGTGAAGCAGAGACCTCTGCAGGATTCAGCCTGGGCATAGCAGGTCACACACAAGTGGTGTTTTGTACCAAGAATTAAACTGAATCCAGTAAGGTAATTGCATCTGGAAGATTTTCTGTGTATAATTAAAACTTTGAAATCTATCTTCCTAAAATTTGTCCCATTTCATGTAATTTAGGTGTGTTTGTCATTTAACCCTCAAAGCACGTTGGTGGCAACTGGAAGTATGGACACAACAGCCAAATTGTGGAACATTCAGAATGGGGAGGAAGTTCTTACCTTAACAGTACGTCCGTAATGCTAATAAGCCTATTATCTGTGTTCATTCTTATATGTATTTTTGTTACAAAATGAGCTCTAAGTTGGTTGTTGTTGAGATACTGATTTTCAAACCGTAGTGGTGAAAGACCGTTCCAACTGGTTTGCTGGCTATTCCAAAGGACTTGGGTGGAGGTGCTGGGGAAGCCAAAGAGCTTTTTACTTGGACTAACTTCTGTCTGCAAAACACATAAACTGTAGCTTAGAACCCGTGACCATCTCTCTGGCTAAAAGGGAAGCCCGGGGAGGCTGGCACTTTTGGAAGAGGCAGAACTGGAGAACCATGCCAAGAGAGTCTTTAAAGCAGTGACTGTGAGCACACTTTCCTCTGCCTGCCGGTCTTGGAACCCTCCTGTATCACACAGTCTGAAATGACAGAGGGGCAAGTGACTAGAAGAGAAAAGGCCAAAGGGCACTGCCCACAGAGTGAGTGCCGGTGGGGTGTGCTCTTGTGTGTCGCCACCACACACACAGCACCTCCCTGCGACCTGCCACCCTCTCCTTCCTCTCACCCCAGCCCAAGTGGCCACAACAAAAATAGAGTGACCCTATGTTGTAATCAGTAGGGACAGCTGAATGGGAAATTCAGTTTCCTTGTCCTTTCAAAATTATAAATACATTTTTAAAAACATGATTCTTTTCCTCAGAAAGTTTTTTCTAAAAAAGTTAAAACATGGACTGAGAAAGAAAACAAAATCACCATTTAAAAATAGCAGTAATGTCTTTTCTTTTTAAAATCTGAGTATCTAGCATGATTAATATAAGTATATTCTTTCTGTTCTCAGTTCTTCCTATTTATTTTTAACTTTTATTGTTTTTTTTCCTAACCGCTAGGTCCTCCAGTATATTTATCTATTTTTAGAAAATTATTACTGTCTCTTCTTTCAGGCAAATGTTCAGGGAAAGGTCCCTGTTAATGCTGCACTTTCAACTAAAATGACTCCTTTTACAGACGTGCCTAATCGCACTTGATGTGATGGGTCCTGTTTGGCACACCTGTCTGTGCCAGAAAGTGCATTTGTTTTGCACACTTAGAATTCTAATATTCAACCACATTTCATTTTTGTCCTTTGAAATCAATGTTATAAATCAACTTTTCTAACTCTTCATATTATTTAAAAGTATAATTATGGGCCGGGTGTGGTGGCTCACACCTGTATTCCCAGCACTTTGGGAGGCCGAGGCTGGTGGATCACAAGTTTAGGAGTTGGAGACCAGCCTGACCAGCATGGTGAAGTCTCTACTACAAATAAAAAACTAGCTGGGCATTGTTGCATGTGCCTGTAATCCTAGCTACTCAGGAGGCTGAGGCAGGAGAATCACTTGAACCTGGGAGGCAGAGGTTGTGGTGGGCCGTGATTGTGTCACTGTACTCCAGCCTGGGTGACAGAGTGAGACTCTATCTCAAAACCAACCAACCACCACCAACGACAATGAAAAACCAAACAAAATATAATTATGTTACTTTACTAAGATAATTAAGGAATCAAGGGATATACGTATGCCAACCAGCATCCACTTATCAGAGTTTCAGAAGCTTCTGTAGAGAGGGCTTTCTTCCCATTGTGTCACAGTTTGATTCACTAACACTAGACAGTAACCAGCTGAAAGTCAGGCCAAAGGCAGGAATTTATCAATCTATTTCCTGCCAAGTTATCCTAATAATTTCCTTTTTAAAAGTAATCAGTTTTATTTCATACACTGTTTACTTTTACATACCATCTGTTATTAGCCAGTGGAGTCCGCAGCTCTGTAGTGTTTCCATGACAATGTAAAGGAAGGCCTCTAGTTTCCCCAAACACAACAGCTTTCTTTTGTTTTTAATCAACATTATTAAGTTAAATGGACTAGCTGTGTGTAAGTCACTAATTTTTAGTAACCTCACAGAGTTGGGCAGCCATTACCAAAACCTAGTTTTCAAACATTTCCATCACCCCCAAAAAGAAACCTGTGCCCATGTGCAGACACTCCCCATCCTCACCCCAGCCAGCTGCTGACCTCCTTTCCTAGAGCTCATCCTTCTCCAGCATTTCCTTTTAGACTATGATATTGAAAACTTGCAGAAATTGTATTATCTACAGGTGTATCTGACAATATCTGCTCTTTTTCTAGGGACATTCTGCGGAAATCGTCTCCTTGTCATTTAACACCTCAGGAGATAGAATCATGACTGGGTCTTTTGATCATACAGTTATAGTGTGGGACGCTGGTACGGGAAGGTAATTCTGAGTTCCTAAGAATTGTTTTAATCTGGGTCAGGAGGTTCAGAAAACCTCCTTTCATTTATTAGTTTAAGCTAATATCAATTAACTCTGCTTTTGATTCCATAAAAGTAGGCCATATTGAAAATGTAAGTTAATTCATTCTTGAAAGATATTTCTGATTCACAAAATATGTGCATTCTTTGAATTCTGAGCAACTAATGACAAACAGCAACATAAGAGGAGAACATTAGCAATAGTCTGGTTATATAGCTATTATTTATTCCATGGATTACATAATCAAATTTCAATGACTTATCATTATGTTAGGCATGAATATCATTCATAAATACAACTCTTAGTTAATTTCTCAAATTTAATTTAGTCCAAGAACTTCAATTTCCTTCCTAATGATTTTTGGTCCTAGTTGCTAGGATGCTAATTAAATTAGCATATTTGTGTTGGAAAACTCCGCTCTTGGATGTCTATGATTTAATAGAGGGGCTAATTATCAGGGGTAAGAAATGACAGAGAAAGAAGGGACTTTCAGTTACTTGATGCATAGTTTCTGAACAACCAAGGGTGCACTCATCTGGTGTAAGAATACTTCTTACTGCCTTTACTATTTGTTACCCACTTGTTTTTGAAATGTTGCCTTAAGTAGCATTATTTTGATAGTTTAAAATGTAAATACATTGTTGTTGAAATGAAATTATTAGTAGCTTCTTTTTGAGCAATAGTAAATCATACTTGTTTTATCAAATATATTATTTTGTAAAAACCAAAATTTAGATTAGCTTACACAGATGGGCTTGGCGCATTATTCATGTGCATATACTGAAGTAACATATCTTTCACTAGTTTTAATTATTTTTGTGTTGTAGGAAGGTACATACCTTAATTGGTCATTGTGCTGAGATTAGCAGTGCCTTATTCAATTGGGATTGCTCTTTAATATTAACTGGCTCTATGGACAAAACCTGCATGGTAAGCTAAATAAATATGTTTGCTTTGCTTTATATTGTGTGTATACTCTTTACTGTGTCAGATATCCGTTATAACATTAACACATTTCAAAGGTGATATAAAATGAAGATACTAATTTATAAATAATAATTGGTAATTTTTTAAATTTCAAGTTTTGGATTTTCCAAATTTGAAGGAATTATGATGTAGTAAAGCAATTCGAATTGCTTCAAGTGTATTAAATATCTTATGTAAGAAGGCATTTTATTTTTATTTAATATCCCACTGTTTGTTTATAGAACTTCAATGAGTAGGGTGACCCTCAAAGAGCTTCAAACACAGTGTTTCCTTGTCCCTAAGTTTCTACACTTAAAAATTGGTTGCTAAGAGATTATAGTATGGAATTATCGTTTGATTGTATAACAAATATATTATAATCTTATAATGTACTTTTCATTTTCTTACATTGTAGTTTTATATCAAGCTGGTAATTATTTGATGTCTTTCCTATAAAAAGAGCACAACTCTTTACCAACCAGTAAAGCATATACATTGAGATATTTTTTCTTTCTTCAATGTAGTGGCAGATTTTAAATGTCTGGCTTTGGTTTTCTCTGTGACCAAGGTGTGCCTTGCTTGTTGGTTGGCTGTGGTCTCTGGTCATGAATCAAAGGTAATCTAACTGAACATGCCAGAACTACACAAGTGATTTTTGCACAGTTATTTAACCAGCCATAAGCATGTCATGAAGACCACTGGCCGTCTTCACATTTTAGACAGAAAGTCAGTCTTTTTTTGTTTTTTATTTCTTTTAATTGTAGCTGTGGGATGCTACAAATGGAAAATGTATGGCAACCTTAACAGGCCATGAAGATGAAATACTAGACAGCTGCTTTGATTACACTGGCAAGCTTATTGCAACTGCTTCAGCCGATGGTAGGTGATCTGTTCATACTTTTAATTTGTGGAGCGATTTATGCCTTGCTTGGTAACCATGCATGATTCTACACTATAGGTCATTTCTTTGATGACCAGCTATGATAAAAATTGTCTCATCTCTATGGTGACCATGTATGTCACTATAGTATGTCTATATCATATAGCCGATAACCACATGTAATGTTATACAATGTCTGTGTCATCTTCTAGATAACAAGGTATATGAGGTATTTGTCATCTTCTTAATATCTGTGTATAATGCTATATTCTGGGTCACCTCCCTGATTATGTATGATGTTACCCTGTGTTGGCCTTTGTCAACTTGATTGCCATCAGTAGTGCTATAATCTCCTTTATAACCACATGTGCTGTTCCACTATGTCTACCACATCTTCGTGATAAGCATACATGATACTATGCTGTATGTTATCGCTTTGATTACCACTTGTGATTCTACACTATGTGTCATCTTACTGATAACCATCTATGGTGCTATCCTAGGTGTGCTTCATTTCTGTGATGGTCACAGGTGATACTACACTATACCTGTCATCTCCCTGTTGCCCACATGTGACGTGATACTGTGTTCGTCTCATCCCCTAAGGATCATGTTTATTTCTACATTACATCTGTATCATCTCGTTGAAAGTTGCATATTTGCTACACTGTGTTTTTATTTATTCCTTTAAAACCACACTTGATGCTGGGCCATAGCTGCATCATATCCTTGATAATCATATATGATGTAAAACCATGAGTCACCTTGCTGACAAATATGTATGATACTAACACTATGTCCACATCATCTCATTGAAGCCACATGCATGCTATACAGTGTCTTTATTAGCTCATTGATGACCATTTGTATTGATGTACTATGCGTGCATTATGTCCTGGATAACATTTTATAATACTGAACAACAAGCCATTCCCATGGCAACCATGTATGATGTTATATTATGTGTCATCTCTTTGACAACTACATGTGATGATTTATTGTGTCTGCGCAATTTCTCTGGCAAATATTTATGACACTACCCTATGTCTGCAGCATATCCTGACAAACATGTGTTAACACTATGCAATTTATATATTATCTCCCTGACAATTTCTTATTTTACACTAAACTATGTCTATACCATGTCCTTGATAACCACATGGTACTATACTATGTCTCCCTCATCCTATGTCTCCATGGCAAGCATGTGTGATGCTATGCTAAGTGTATGTCATATCATGACATCACTTACCATCCATGATGTGGGATAACATAGGCATCACTTCATAGTTTATAGAAGTATGAACTATGCATTATCTTCCTGAAGACAACAGATGGTGCTAAACTACATCAATAAACCTAAACCTGATGACCACGTATGAAGCTACACCAAGTCTACGTTAGCTTTCTGATGACCACATATGATGCTATGTCGTGTCTGTGTCATGATCTGACTACTGGGTTTTAATTTACACTGTATCTGTTATCCTCTTTATGATAATGTAAGCTACTATACCATATCTTTAATTATTTATAACCATGTATAATATGATACTATTCCATGTCTTAGTATTTCTTAGAAATCCATGTATGATGCTATAGTGGTTATACTTCATTGTCCTGGCCAACGTGTCTGCAGGGTCCGCTATAGCACATCACCACCTTTAGAAAAACGTAGGAATCTACATTACGTCTGGATCATCTCTTTGAAATTGCTCATGACACAGTACTATGTTATGTCACATCCTTGAATACTATGTGTGATGCCGTATTAAGTGTCATATCCATTGTGAGCATGTGTGATATTGTACTGTGTTGACAACTTGATAACCTTGTGTCATGATAAAATATGTAATTTCACTGACCTCCATTTATAGTACTACACTATGATTATATCAGCTCCTGGACAATGATGTATGATGCTCGTGTTAGTCAAGATTTTTCAGAAAACATACATGTGTGTACACACACATGTATATACACACATATACACATGGATATATCCTATTGGTTCTGGTTTATACTATATATATATAATTTTATATATTTATATATATAATATATATTTATATATAATTTTATATTATGCATACTATGTATAATTCTGTGTATACTATATATAGTATATAACCAATAGTATATAGACACACACACACATATTTATATATGAAGGCTGAGAAGTCTTGCCATACACAGTCTGCAAGCTGGAGAATCGAATCAGTGGTGTAATTCAGTCCAAGTCTGAAAACCTAAAAAGTTGGGGGACCAGTGGTATAACTCTTAGTCTGAGGCCCAAAACTTAAGCGAACTAAGGAGGGCACTGGTTTCAGTCTCAGAGTCCGGGGATCTGAGAACCAGGAGCTCTGATGACTGCGGGTCAGAGAAGATGGATGTCCCAGCTCTGGAAGAGAGGGGAATTTCATTTTTCCTCTACCTTATGTAGTATCTGGGTCCTCAATGGATTGGATGATGCCTGCCCACATTGGTGAGGGTGGCTCTTTTTAACTCAGTTTAACACCCTCACAGACACACCCAGAAAAACATTAGTTTTACCAGCTCCTGGGTATCCCTTAACACAGTCAAGTTGACATATAAAATTAACCATCAAAATGCTGCACTGTGTCTGTGTATATCCTGTTACCTACATCACTACACTAAATCTGCGTCATCTGTTCCTGGGGCATCCTAAAACGTGTGTTATGCCTACATTATTCTTTGGTAGTCATATATGATGTTGTACTATGGTAATTTCCTTGATGATTATGTATGATGCCATATATATATATACATACACACACACACACATACACACACACATCAAGGCCAGCCATGGTGGCTCATGCTTGTAATTTCAACACTTTGGGAGGCCAAGGGGGGAAGATCACTTGAGGCCAGGAATTTGAGACCAGCCTGGGCAACATAGTGAGACCCCATCTCTACAAAACATTAAAACAAAAATTATCCAGGTGTGGTGGAGTGCACCTGTAGATCTAACTACTCAGTAAGCTGAGGAAAGTAACTTGAGCCCAGAAGTTCAAAGTTACAGTGAACTATGATTATGCCACTATACTTCAGTCTGAGTGACAGAGTGAGACCGTCTCCTTGATAAATACATTCATTGATGAACACACACACACACACACCCCCCTCATATTCTAAACAGCCATATCTGGTGTTACATTATTTGAAATATTTTGGAAATTATGTGTGATGTTATAGTATTACTGTATCACCACTCTAACAACCCCGTAAGATGCTATAATATATTACTTTATACTATTTCTGCATTAAATTCATGATCATTTATTACACTAGCCTACAATTCATCTCCAGGACAAACATATATGATACTACACTATGTCTGTGCCATTTGGAAAACAGGGTGTGATGATGCACTATTTTTGTGTTACTTCCCTGACTACTATTTATGATGCTGCAATATGTCTGCTTCATTTTCATGATAAGCACCTGTGACATTACAACAGCTCTGTGTCAAATCCATGGTATCCTCATATGACACAAAATTATAACATATATTTACATATTTTTATATATTACATGTAATTTTATATATTACATGTAATATATAATAAATATTAAAATTACATGTAGTATATAATGTGTAATTACATGTAATATATAATATATCATCATGTCATCACCCAGATACTTTTTTTTCTGCATCTGATCATCCATGAGACCCTGATATCTTGTGTGATACTATGCTGTGTGTCATCTCCCTGATAATGTATGATACCACTTTATATCTGCATTATCTCTCTGACAACCTAAGTAAACTTATACTATTTTTGGGCCATATGCTTGACAATTATATATGAAGCTATACTATATCTCATCATATTCTTGACAATGGATGAAACTATACTATACTTGAATATATTTTGTAATCATGTATAATTATATATATGTATATATACATATATATAAATTACATTCTGAGATACTGGGTATTAGGACTTCAACATATGAATTTTAAAAGGACACAATTCAGCACAGAATAGCACATATGACATACTGTGTGTTTGCTTCTTCTGCCTGGAGGATGCGTATTATTTTATGTTTTTATCATCTTCTTGAAACCACTTAAATTATGCTGTAACTTCATCATGCCCTTTACAAAGGGCTGTGCTATACCTCATTGGTGACATGTCCTCGTTATTTAAGGATGATGCTACAATATATTTACTTTGTTTCCCTGATGATCATTTCATTTGTAAGCACATGTTTTCATCCTCTCCTCGGCAACAACTTATAATTCTCCACTATGTCAGTGTCATTGCCTTGATAACCAAATGTACTCTTTCTGTATCGTCTTTCTGACTACCACATATGACACTGTATAACATATGTGTGATATCCCTGATAGCCACATGTGATGCTGTCTTATCTCTTACCTTTTTCTAGGGCCTTTACGAGATTGTACTATGTCTACGTCATCTCCCTTATGGCCACAAATGGCAACTACATTACATGTGCACCATCTCCCTGACCACATATGTCCCTGCACTGTCTGATTCATCTTTCTCATAACCATATATCTTGCTTCACTATGTGTATATCACTTCGTGACTACAGTGTTTGCTTCTGTGCTGTGTCTATATGTGTCTGTATCTATACTGTACACGACTCTGTGGTCTGCTATGCCATTACCATACCATACAAGGTGTGCACATTGTCCTTTTTGGAACCAAGTATAATGTTACATTATGCCTCATCTCCCTGGCCAACATGTAAAACGTCATGCTAAGTCTATGTCATCTTCTTTTTCTTTTTTCCTTTGAGATGGAGTCTCACTGTGTTACCCAGGCTGGAGTGCAGAGGCATGATCTTGGCTCACTGCAACCTCTGCCTCCTGGGTGAAGGCAGTTCTCCTGCTTCAGCCTCCCAAGTTATGTCACATTCTTGGCAATCATGTTTGATGTTATCCTGTGTGTTATCTCCCTGATCGCTGGATGTAATGCTTAACTGTGCCTGTGTC